CTTTCCGTTTCACATGCTTTTTATTGTAAATTGCCAAAGACTCACAGCTGTGTGACCGTCAGACGAAAGTAGTTTTTCAATGTTACAGACTGAATGACAATGGACAGGTACGAGGTGGGATCTTTTCCTTAGCACTTCCATACCTCCTGGTCAAGAATTTTAGTTTTGAGACATGTCATCTATGGCAAGCACAACAATCTTAAAGTGGGAGGAACTTTGTAAATAAAAATGTCACGTGAAATTTAAGGGATACCTCCATAGTACCTAAATATACGCACATTTATAAAGTGTTCAGTTTGGACCACACTATGTTTATTCAATTTGTCCTGGATATAGATATTTAATTTTACTCCGATGCAAGTTCAGCATTTTTCTCAGTTTTTCAAAGAAAGCTCTTGTAACAGTCTGCGGGTACTCAAGCTGAGTACCTCTGTTACTTCTCAACTTCCTATACTATTTCAGGACCAGTCAGTATTGCCTTGCTGAGTCGTATTACTTGGCGCTGTAAGAAGCACTCAGATGCCCATCTCAAAGTAAACTGACCAGCATTCGGAATGAGTGATTTTAGCGAGTGATTATAGCAATGATTATAGCCCTTAGGGGTCAAAACAGAACTGACTTTATTGCAGCTGTGCAGAGGTATTTATACCAGATAGGGATGCATACAATAGAGCAATTAACAGTACATGCAGTTCCCCACCATGTCCTCTTCTCAGAATTCCTTGCTTCTCTTGCTAAAAACAACCGTCAGCCCTACCATATCAAACAAAACTTGTGCCATTTTGTCCATATAACTCTTGTTAACCAAACAATTGGATATAATACAAAAGTCTCTGTTCTCTATTAGACCAACATGCCCATTAAATATAATTAAAATAGCCTAAAATATATATATTTTATGAGCACAATTGATGCCCCTTGTAAAATTCCTACTCAAGCCAAAGGAACCCTTGCCCTGCAACCCTGGATCCATGACAGCTCTGTAATGTATCTGTAACATGACACAACTAATTGTATTATTATTGGCAGTCAAACACAACTGAGAGGCTCAGCCTCCGACCATAGGTGCTGATTAGATTGCTAGCAATGGCAATAGATGAAGTGTCCTTATGATATGGAGGGGTTCACACCCCATAGACACACCTCCTACATAGACAGTAGTGAAGTGTAGCAGAATTGGGAGAAGACTTCTGTTATGATGAACTGCTGTTTCATGATACCTTCATTAAACAAAGAGTCCTGCGCCAATGGGAGTTAGTTACCCAAACAGATGTTAAAATAAAGCGGAGAATCGAGCCTCGAGTATGAATTGCATTGTTGGTAAAACCAGGGGTTGTTTGGTAAGAGGGACTGTTGGACAATCGCCTCATGCGCTACACTGGCGAGGACTAATCCAGATTTTGTCAGAAGAATTATATATAGAGGCTATGCCTCTAGTGTATAACACTCATTTCAATAGCTATACGTTTGAGATGGGCTTTGTACACATCGACTCAGTCATGAAACTAAGACCCTGAAAATAACAATCAGGGTTATTCACTAATGTGAGAATTGTCAGACATTCAAATTGAATTTCATATTGAATGGCAAAATAGCCGAACCGGCATGCTTAGCTGACTTGGTATTCTGACCTTTGAAATTTGAAATTCACTTTGAATTCTCGTCAATGCTCACCATAAATATATGGGAATAGCTGTGTGTGACAAATGTGGTTTTAGGGTTCCATATTCCAGTTCCATAGCATTAAAATCCCCCCTCCCCTCCATCCCACCAGTACTACTCGACATTATTAATAATTGCTTATTAATTAAAAAAAATAAAACATATAACCAGTGGTCTTTATATATATTCTGCCCCCACGATCACCAACTGCCACTACAACTAGCGTTAAAAGAGATGAATGCACAGAGCTTCTTTTAAACCACAACACTCCATTTTGGTTACAATATGTATCACAGGTTACACACTACAGATGGGAGGAGGGACAGTTTGGCCTGGCAGGTCTTTCAAATGTGATTCTTGTTCTTGAAGCACAGCATTCAAGGTTCTATACTATTTATATAACTGACTTTTATTGCTATCTGAAGAAAAAATACCACATTTTATTTCAACCTGTTATTTCTCTAGCAGTAGGAAGCTGAGTGATTGACAAGGCAATTACTGGCGCAAAGCTGCTGCTCCGGTAAACGACATTTAAAACAGAATTTCAATATTTTGATGTACAGTAGCTGTTGGTTATAAAACTGGTTTTCTATCGAAGGCTGTGAAAGTCGGAGAAAAAAAATAGATAAGGTTTCTGGCTCAATGCATAACTCCCCCCCACCCCCCGCCAAAGGTGACTTTAAATGACTGAAAATTCCATCTTAGAGCTTTCTCTACGGATCTCAAATCATAGCTGTCCAAATGCAGGTACACCTATTCAGAAAACTGTCTTTTTATGTTCGTGCGAAAGTTGAATCATCGCTATTTATACCACAGTTTATGAACTGTGCTCTCGTACATAAACATGTTTTAAACTTAATTGCTATTGGTATTGTATTTGTTTGCTAGAGAACCCATTTACTCTTAGGGGCAATTAAAGCAGACTTGCCATTAGTGGAGATTTTACATGGATCAGCTGAGCATAAAATCAGCCTTTTTGTTATGTTAACGTGTGTCAGAATGATTCTGATTTTCTAACGTGTACCTGTCATGGTTAAATGACATGGTGGCCCATTATAGAAAATAAAGGACTTTTATATACCATCCTAGCCAAATTACCAGCATATGCATGGATATAATTCATGTATTAGCAAACAGAGCCATCCCAGCTTACATCCCATAATTCTAGAGCGCAAGTGCCAGTCTGCACAGTCATTAGCTTGCGACCACTATCTAAGAGTACAGGAAAATAAACTTTAAATAAGAATACAGATTAATATGTTCATGTAATGCCAGGCAAAGGTGGGCATCCCATCCATTTGTCCATCAATTCATGCATCCTTTTATCTGTCCATCTATCAATTCTTTCATCCCTCAGTCCCTGTAATTCAATATTTGGTTTCAATTTGTGTCTTGGCACTGGTGTGAGCAGCAGAGCGTGCAGCACCAAATGGTGCTGCACACTCAGCAATACACTATTAAAATACAATCCATGTATGTTTCCTGCTTAAAGGGACACTATAGTCACCAGAACCACTACAGCTTAATGTAGCTGTTTTGCTGTCTATATCCTGTCCTTGCAGGCTTTTCAATGTTAATGCTGCCCAGTGGCAATCACTCAGATGGCCACTAAAGTTGCTTCCTATATCAGTGTTGTACAGTGTGCTGCATCTATGTTCAACGTCTTCACGCACTGCATGGAGACGCTAAACGTCCCCTACGAGTAGATGCTGATTGGCACAGCTCTGCGTTTTGCAGGCAGATGATCTCATCCATGGAGGCTGAGACAGGAGAGGCAATACCAGCAGATCATGGGAGAAAAGATGGGTAAAACCACCTTTTGACTGAGATCAGAGGGCGCCGTTCACCTAAACAGCCACTTCAGGACAATAGTGTCAGGAATACTTGTTTATATTCCTGACACTACAGTGTTCCTCTAACTTTCTTTCTCTAAGGACCCAATTAATTGCAGCTTTTTCTTGTCCTTTATGGAGTTTACTTTCCTAAATGG